ATGTCACAACCTGTGGGCTTTCCCAGTCAAACAGAAGTTTTATTTTAATGTGATTCAATATCATGGCGAACTGGTCACCTACGACACCATCCTACACAATGAGTAACGTTCTGGCTGCTTTCAGCCCTTGAGATCTGGACCCAAAGAAGAACAAGTTGTAGTCTACAAACATCTGCTTCCCCAGCCACCCCGTTTAATTCTTGTCTATCCATCATGCATCAGTGTTTCTCAGCCCCTTCAACTGCTCTACGCTGAAACCTGAGTGCAGTAAGGATTTGATTTCCGGCTATGGGGTCCATCACAGTGATTTGGTTGGATGTGCCACCAGGACCATATTTTTCATATTGCCGGTTATGCTGATCTGGCTGTACTTCTAAACACCAAATTGCTATTGATTCTGCTCTGTGTCTTCCACTGCTTTTATAATTTAACCTCTGCTATAAAAAAATGAATAAATATCACCATGGGATTACTTCTGTTTGCCCGGTTAATATTTAAGGCAACTTCATATGAGGTGCTTTGGTGTTTTCATATCCATAACAATGGTAGAATGATCGCCTGGCTTTTGACTGAGAGAATCCCTCTTTCTTTAAACCAGACTGTGTTTGACCAAAGCTGCTGCCTGTAATAGATTGAGCTGTAACGGTGTGGTTGGATACCCGCAGGCTCAATCATTCCCAGTCTCCCATAAGGCTTGTTCCTTTAGCTACAGCACTGTAAGGATAGTGTGCGAGTGCAGGCCAGTGGGCGTGGCCATGAGTATAACTGTGGGCAATGGCAGGTGCAGGTAGAATGGGTGTGGTCTGTTGAAGGTCACTGGGTGTGGTTTAGTGAAGACTGACAGATGTGCAGACATGGCTTACCCCCCCTAAACCTGCAGGAATGCCAATTCCCCACCAAACCGATAGTAGGCCAGGGGGGCTATATGAATCAATAAATACTCTTTTTTCACCCTATTTTTTTTTCTCAGTAAAAAATGTACAATATGTATGCGTATCTCATCTTCCATCGTTTCCTGAAAGTGCAGGTCTGTTGCCTCATTTTTGAATGATAAATCACATATACACACATTATATGACATTTTTTTCAAATAGTCATGATTAAAAGTGATACAAATTCCTGTATGTGCATTAAAATCATTTGAATACATAAAATCATCCAAAGAGAATTCAACATAACATAGACAGTGATGTGAATATGTAATTGTAATGCCTACAGTCATGTTGCCTGGATTAGCACCTGTTTTAAGAGTCATAGCAGGAATGTGGTTGAACTGTTGCACCTCAAGCGGCTGCAAAACAGCGACTGAAGCTGCCAGCATTAAGAAGCAGCTGGATAAACCATCTTCAGTGTACCGCTTACCCATCATGCACTGCTTTATGAGATCCTGAGAGAGATGCCAAAGGCAGTAACCATAGGCCTTAAAAATGCACATGATAAGCGCAGGTGTATATTTTATCAGTATATTTATATATCTCATATATAATTATGCATATATAATATATTTGCATCCACAAAAAGGCAGCAGTGGAGCAATCAAAGCACTTGTCTTTCACTTTTGCATATTGTTCCATACACAAAAACACAGTACTTGTAAATCTATACTCCATTACTTGCAGGGAAATTAAAATCTACTCTCACCCCTTGCTTTACGAAAATTTATCACTGGGTGTTTTTCCTCACGGTCGATCCTCCAGTGCCAAGAAATATTGACAAAAAAAAAACAGCTAACAAATCTAAGAGTGCCCCCCTGTGGTCATAATATTAAGGACAGGAGCAAAGCAGACTCCCCCTATGCCGTTCTCACCTAGCTCGCTGACAGGGTGTAATGATTAACAGTGGGTAAACTTGGGTTCTCTCAGCTAATTATGCTTATGGTCTGTGTATGTGTGTGGGACACTGACCATAAAAACGTAAAGCTGGGACTGGCATACCCACTGAACCGGGACACATTTATTCAAACGGACAGACATGGACGGGCAACAGCACTGGATGGTCACCTTGCAGGGTATCTTCTACCCAACACTGGCAGTTGTGGGCATCCCCTGTGAGTATCCTATCTACTTCATAACACAGAACAAAACTGTTTTAATTTTGACAAATTACATTATGCTTACAATAACAAAATGTCCATGGTAAAATCAACTCTATGGAGTATGTTTTTCAGTATTCTTCTTTTTTATTTATTTAGTTCAGCAAAAAAACAATCTAAAGTAACTTACTTTATATTTTGTTTGTCTTTAAACACATGCAGGTGGAGTTAGTTAATTAAGCATATGCAATTAAGCTAATGTTTCACCATCATTGCTGATGCTGAGATTTGTGAACCTGAAACCTATGAGGAGCACCTCACTGTAGGAGTAACCAGCCTGTAATGAATCTGATTTTATACTTTGCTCAACAGTATTATCACAAACAGTTTCTGAATAATTCTGACGCATCACACTGACCATAAAATCTCTTGAATCTTCAAAACTTTCTGAATATACGTCACACTGCTGCCATTCACTTTTCAGTCTCCCAAAGTTCACAGGGACATATTCATATCACAAAATGGGTCAATACCTCCACCTCAGTACAGGGTGTCCTCGACTTACGAATGAGTTCTGTTCCTACAACGGGGGAATTTATACCTAAATTATACCTAAATTAACACCTGTACACTCACACTGTACACACAACACATGAAGGACATATAAAATACAGTAATTAAATGAAACAGTGGTAACAAAAGAGAGAACAATTCCTTACCTTTATTTCTGTGGTCGTATTTACGAACCAAACCGATTAAGTCGAAACTGCTTTTTTAAAGTAATTTATGGGAGTGCGTCGTAACCATGAAATGACGTAACTCGAGACCATCGTAACCCGAGGACCTCCTGTACTACTTAATTTTGATCAACTTTGTGACCCTACCTTAAGTACTGGCAGCCAACAGCTGAAAGGGAATTAAATTCTTAGCTTTTTTGTGAGTATTGTGATGAAGTTGAAATCAGGTCTCCATCACATACGGTCCTCCCTTTATTTTCTGGATCGGAGCCTTTACTTCCATGTCAGCTAACATTTCCATGCTTACATAAAGACAATGTGAATGTCTTTTAGACCAGTGGTCACATTTTTCAACCTTAGCTAGCTATGGTGAGGGCAAGGTTTCGTGTGGGCCATCACAAGAGGTTTAACGAAGTCTCCTCCTTCCAGCCAACATCCTAACCTTCCTGGTGTTCTGGAAGAGGAACTGCATGCTCTCCAGGTCCAGCACCTTTTACCTGATGGCCATCGCCACTGCCGACACCTTCGTCATCATCCTCATTGTGGTACTGGAGCTGACCCTAAAGTACCACATGGTGGAGCCGTACTGGAGCCGTGAGCCCTGGTGCAGCCTAAGGGATATCTTCAACTACGGGGCTTTCAACACCTCCACCTGGCTGGTGGTGGGACTGACGGCCGAACGTTTCGTGGCCATCAACACGGTTCGCTTGCGAGCAAAGCTGTGCACCTCTCGCTGCGCCCTGCGGGTCATTGCCGCCATCTTCGTAGTCAGTCACCTGTGCGCCATCCCCTACTATTGGTCCAACCGCTCCATCTATGAAAAGTCAGAGGGCCGATGGGTCTGCATCTACAATCACAAGGCAGGGGACCACTACGTGCATTCCTTGGTGTGGTTCCAGACCGTGCTGGTCTATGTGCTGCCATTTGTCATTATCTTCACCCTCAACGGCCTCACTCTGAGGCTGATTGCCCATAGCAACCGTGTCCAGGTCACCACCTCAGCAACCTTCACTAGGGGATCCAATCAAGCCAAATCTTGGGCTGTGGCCCGGAAAGGGGCACTCCTACTCCACTCCAGAAGGAGGAAGTCAGTGGTACTCCTGGTTGCCGTGTCTATGACCTTCGCCCTTCTGTCAGCCACCCGCTTCGTCACCCAGATCATCCTTCGTACCACTGACTTCTACATTCTGGACCGGGACGACTACTCTTTCCCCATCAACGTGGCAGCTGACGTGGGCACCATGCTGAGCCTCAGCAACGCTGCCGTCAACATGTACCTGCACGCCTGCACCCAGCCCCGGTTCCGGCTCGAAATGGCTGCCTGCATCAGGCTGGCCTTCCCCAGGAAGCCCCACCCTGGTGGTGCCACGACCATCGTCTGCCATGTGTGACCATTTTTCTCCCTGAAGGGGCGGTCATGTTTCACATCATCCTGCCACCTGTGCAAAACTTTGTGCAGACTTAGTGTCTGTATGGGTGTGAATCAGCTGATGTGGCTCAATGAAAGCGGATGATCCAGTTATGAGTGAATTATACTGAATTCCTCATAGAGCAGTATAATGTCCACTCTTCAAAATATGAGCTGGTATCATTATTTGAAAAGGGTTGCATTCACAGGAACCATGTTAATTAAGGTTTCGTTTGTGTTGCCAGAGACGTCTTATTAACTGAGAGCCCTATAAAACCAGGATTTAATTTTCTCCCCCATAAGCGGGAAGTAGCAATGTGTACATACTGCTGTGATTTTTGTCACTGGGAGGAGGAGTCTGTAACAATTGACGTGGATCTCCACAAACTGACCCTACTGAGCGATGTTTACCTTGCAATTTGGATTTCAAAATTAATTTCCCAAGAACTTCTTCAGGTCATGAGGAAAATAAATGAAGCCAATGCCTGTAAAAGTAAAGATGTGTTTTTTTTTATTGGCAAAGATAATTTTTAATTTCCTAAAAGACAGTGCACACATTTGCTTTAACCATACTAGTCTGTAGGTAAGTCCGTAATCACAGGATAGTATCATTATGAAATCCAACTCTACAAAAACATCTGACAAATTATATATTAAATTAACATACAGTTTCATTATGTTATTTCATCTTTTGAGAGTGCACTATGTTTGTATTGGATAAACACTATATAGTGTTAACACTTTATTGATTCATGCATATGGATATTTTTAGAACAATTCAGGAACCCTATGTCTTTACCATATGATGATCCCCATAAAAGCTCGACTCTGGTGGGACTCGAACCCACAACCTTTGAATCACTCCTTTTCAAGTTTAACTAGAAGTCCAACGCGCTATCCATTGCGCCACAGAGCCATACTTAAGCAGAACGTGTCTGACAGTCGGACACCAAGCGACAATTTAAATATATATATATTTTCACTATTTTTCATCCCTGAATATGTGACGCATCTATACATCAGCACATCTATACACTGTCGATATGTAGCTAGTTTCACATTTATAGATCGCGCGTCAGTGTTGGCTTATGCGGCCTGAATATGTTGAAGTGACGATTAATTAGGTAAAATGACATCAATAATTGAGAAAGCTTTGTTAAAAGTAAATAAAAAGCTTAGTTTAAGTTTGCAAATGGTTGAATCCAGCGTGTCTTCCATAATTCAAGTTATAAATGGTAGACTGCTATTGTTCGCAGTTATTTCTCTATTTTAAAAATATACCATTTCTAATAAAAGTCTGAAATAGTATGTAGTCCATCGAAATATTTCACAAATGCAATTCATATGAACGATAAGAAATAACAGGATTGGTATGTTCACGGTATTGTTTGCCATGTATGCTTTACTGTTTGCTCATGTAACCTATGTGGATAGGCTGTATATCGCTCTAAATTACAACCTCAGCTAAAGTAATGTCAGGCTATGTACTGTAAATGCAGCGCAAGTACAATAGCTTATTAAAATACATTCCCCATAATGCCTTGCTGAATACTGTCATTGGTGGCCGAGTTGTCACAAGTGAATACAGGTGACTGGAGCAGTGCAAGCGGCACTATAATTAATATCACTGAGCGCTCGAAAGTACAGAAATAGCAGCGCGACTTCGTGTACAACAACCAGACCAGTTCAGTAATTGAAGTTAGTTGAAAGTCGTAGCGGTGTGTTGTGGCTAGTTCCACAGCTGGATATTAATCGGCGGATTTGCACAAGGACGCATTATTGCTGTGATACCGCAACAAATATTGTAATTCCACGAACTTGATCTCGGTTTTACTCTCTGACCTTCAGCGCGTAAGTATTCTACACGCTAACTGCTTAGCTGAACTCTGCTTAAGGGTTTTGTTACTCGAGCTATAGCTGCCTAATTGTATTCCTGTCGCACTTTTGCGAAGTGGCACTTGTATTAACTATAATTTTAAGAGAAGCCTTTTGCTAATCATCCTTGTTCTTTTTGCCTGTAAAGTGAAAGTCACATTAGCTTAGCCATTGCGACTACTGTACTCTGTTCATTTCAAAATCACACCTTTGTGAAAAAGGAATTAGCCGAGCGGAGGTGAAAGCTTGTCACTTCAAGTGTGCGTTGACTGAAGAGCCTTTTTGCATGCAAATTGAAAGTCAACCAAGTTTAGCGACTGCACCAAGCTAGCTACTGTAGATTTTATTGTAGTTTCTAAATCACACGCCTGTGCCAAGTGTGTTAGCGGCGCGGCCACTTGTGTGCTTTGCACATTTTTGTGTTGGTCATCACAGTTCAATAAACCAAAGAAAAAGGGATATGTGTTGTTCACATACAAAATTTTTTGCATTGCGAGCACTTTTGTGGGATTTCTGTTTTTCAGTTGAATTCAAATTATTAGATGAAATGTCACTTGGTGCAGAATCTGTAACTGCAACAGAAAATTCAGCTAAAGCTGTACCTATTTGCGGCTAATAATTAAGTTTGTAGTCAAAACTGTGAAGTTTCATACCTGTGCATATACGCATTACTATCTGGTCAGCGTGAACTTTTTCACAGCTTGTAATTAAATGGCAATTGCACTGTCAAATACTTCTAAACGGACAGGTTCCAGCTCGCCGTCGGCTGTTAATGCCACCTTCTAGAAAACTCTGAAGTAAGACCTCCATCCAAATGGTCAGATCTCTAATGTCAACACTGGGTACTCTATTTACACCACTTAAATATAACCCGTCGAGTTATTTTTAACGTGCTTCGGGTAGGTTTCATGACTTCATCGCCTCTCCCCATAATGTTGTTTGTATTTACATCGCAAGCGTGCGTCTTACCTACAGGTGTCTGCAGTTAATAACATTTTGTGTTTTCCGTGGGATATCAGAGTGGCACAAAGTATTCCAAGCATGTGCATGTGAGTTAACCAACTTTTGTTGCCGAGCATGACATAATATACATTTAACTAAAGCCTTAAAGCCAATGTGAAATGTTTAAATTAAGCAAATTGTGTCTTTTTACGGGACTTAGGCCAACTTTTGTTTAACCAATCAACTCTCTTCTGTTATGCATACACTGAGCAGTGACAAATTAATAACAACACTTGTTATTATGTTTGGTTATGTTTAATACGACTGATGAGGGCGGGTCTTTAATCTGATATGTAATTTATACAAAATGATGAGTCTATTTAGGTTGGTTGCTAGTGAATTCATTTGTTTTGTCTTGTTTTGAAACATAAGACAATATTTTAGCTGGCAACAAAAAGACAGGTTTAAATTAATCTTCGAGGGATGCGCTGTGAGAGATTGAATTTCCTTCTTGGTATGTTTGGGCATACCAAGACTTCCAGATGCTTGGCCTTAGTGAGCATTTGCTTTTAGGACATATTCACCTCTAGTATGAAAACCTATAACAATGTTCATCTGAGGGAAAAACTGCCAAGAATTGAAACCTCTTTATGGTTTATGTTGTTTGGTTGCTTGCAAACAAGATTCACTGCAAATTGTAGAAAGCAACATAGAATCAGATTCTGTGTTGGGCATTTGCAAGCTAAGATAGAATTTTTGAACATGCACTAAACCGCTCACCTTTAAGATACAAAGATTCGCTGTGATTTTTATTTCATTTTTTTTTAATTAAAAATTACGATTCGGCTCTTTGAGCCTTTAAAAATGTGACTGGTAATGCTTTTCGGCAAAGAAACAATGAGTGGATGTGATACCCTACCTTTGTTATTTGTGGGATTGTATAATGATTATTAATAGTTAGTATATACTATCGTGAATAGCTTTGATTTTTGTTTTATTTCCTGGAAAATGCAGCGTTTTCAGTTATTGGTTTGGCTCATACAGTGTTGCGTAAATGGGTAGCATCCTTTCGCATACCCACACTATGGAAATGTATGAAGTGTATGTCACCCATGATCATAGAGATTAAGGGAATACTGTTTCAAAGAAGACAGAGACAGAGCTGAAGTCTACATGCTGCTCTCAAACATCTGTGTGATTTACTTCATCTGCTCACTCTCCGAGGATACCGCGGCCTCTCTCTGCTTGCCTGCTGATTCGATACATGACACGGGCGAGCGGTCTGAGCGTAAGTGGACGCTTTTATTGCTTTGCTGCAGAATGAGGAATCAAGTGGTTTTTCATTTGCCCGTCGCAGCGTGCGACTTTCATAAATAAACACTAGCAAACAATCGTATCTTGTTGTATTACTGTGAGAAAGAAAATGCTTGCGTGTGGAGGAGGGTGGTGGAGGGGAGTGAAGTGGACATGTTTGAAATTTTTATTATTTACTTCCTTTTCATGATTTAAAGGAACATTGCAGTTGTGGGAATCTATCTTTCTTTTTTCACATTTTGTTTTTGACTCCCAGGGAAAATATTTTCAGGTCCCAGGGAGCTTTTAAGTTTGATTTGCATTTGTGCTCTCAGCGATGTTCAAGTATACGTGCTTACTCATGCCTCAGTAATTGCATTCAACATTGTCTCATTGCAATACTCACAGAAAGGTGCTGCAAATCTTTAAGCACCTGGGAAATTATTCATGATTTAATCCAAAACAAAAGCTGATTTGACAAAGAATGTCAGGTCCATGAGACCCTAGGTATGCATAGAAATCCCAGTTATACCCTGCCCTGTCATTTCTTATATATTGTTATAACAGAGTCTTTCTCTTTGTGGACCATCTCCTGTGGCACCTTAATTCAGTGTCTTTGCGGCCGAGCTCAATTGTCTTGTTTAATAACACACAGTAGTACGATATGGTGTTTGTAGAACGGGTTCCGCCAGGCTCATTAGTTTCGGCAAACAGACTGTGTTTGGTTTTACTTTTGTTTACCAAAAAAAAAATAACGAGGCCCACCACCCACCAAAAGTGACAGATGTTGGCGGCCTCTGACTCGCGTGGGTTAGGTCTTTAAACGGTCTCGGGCTAGTATCTGCAGAAATGAGGCCATTTGCAAAGCTTTTAAGCTGCACGTCTCGCCAGAGAGGGACTCAGCCGTGAAAAGAGGCATCAATCATCCCCTCATAGGTGAGAGGAGGACTCACTCCCTACTCCACTCAAGAGAGGAGCGCATGAGGTCCTGAACGACAGCACATTAATTAGACTCCGAATGAGGTTAATATTTAATTAAAACAACCTCCCCGTCGACTGTGGTGTCCTCCCTTTACTTCTACAACGTACCTGGAGATGATCAGGATAATTTTGCATTTAGTTGTAATTCATTTGTATCCTTCTGCACATTCTACAGACAGTCCGCCAGCTGGGCCGCGTAACGACTGCCTAAGAGGTGCGCACTTGATGCCCGGTTGGCACAGGTGTGCCGCTGGTGCGGTATCGACCAGCAGAGCCGCCAAGAATCCAGCTGAAATGTGCCTTTTATGGGCACGCTGCAACACACTGAAATATGCTACGATTTCAGGGCATGGCACCCAATACCCTTAAACTGGACTGTGCGTATGTGTGTGGCTATTTAAAAATGTGTGGGTGATTGTAGATAACTTTATCTTGCATGCTCGCTAGTTCGCCCACTGCATTAGGTAGCCTACTTTTAATACTCATTTCTGACCAGCTGAAAGCATTTTATGATATTAGCCACCTAGCTGATGCTGGCTTTGCTAATCTTGCTAGTGACAATTTTGTATTTTTAGCAAAATAGTTGACTCAATTTCTGTCTGGTATTGGAATTGGTTCTAAAAGTGGTAAATGACCAGAGCTGATGTTGAGTCGAGTCAATTTACTGACTCAGTTCAAATTTTAGGGCAGAGGAATCACTTAATCACAGTAAAAAGGAATTACAGTTTGATTTTAATCTGTATTTAGTCCATATGATGTTTGATTCCCCTGGTCTAGTGGATCCGACATATTTATTTCAAGGATGGGGAACAGTGTTTTTACTGC